ATCTTCTATGACCACATAAAAGCTTTCAACTTAGAACGCATGATCTAAAGGAACAAAGAAGAAGAGAAGCACGCAAAAGAAAAGCATACATGTGTCATAAAAAGTGCATTACTTTTTTAGAAAAGGACAACGACTATATTGCTACATGACCAGAAAAAGACAAATAATTCCTAGGTCTCAGATAAAGTCAAACACTACTAGCAACAAGATAGAGAAGAATACACGCAATGTCTAAAAACAAGAAGCAACATTTAATGCAAGACAAAATGCATTAAAAGAAAGGATCAAACTAGTCATGAACGACTATATTAGCTTCAACGGACATATGCAACAGGAAAATTTTACAGGCCTATAAGTATGCAATAACATCAAACCAGAAGGGGTTGGCAAAGAAGCAACGAAAGAATAACCATAGGCATTGCCCTGGGCTCTGACACTAGTATTTTTTGTTCTGCCTCTTTAGGCTCTCAATGAGGATTATCGGCCACTCCTAGCCCGCTAACTTCACTCATTAGCATTAGTATTCTTTGTTTAGGCTCTTAGTGAGAATTCTTTGACAAGCCTCTCTAGGCTTATACAAGTATTCTTTGCCTAGCCTCTTCAGGCTTTACAAATCATAGGTAATTTGTTTTGAGTGTGTGGTTTACTCTCACAGAGAGGATACAAAATTTACTACACTCACTAAGGTTTATGTTCCTAAGTTACACTTAAAACTCCTTAGTCTACAGAGATAAATACAATACTATTGTACATTTGACTATGTATGCTCTGTCTCTGGTTTCGTTGCTTCTTGGGCTTGGAATCACTCTTAGCCAACCTTTCCAGGTTTGAAGTCATGACATATATATAGTCTCTGTAAAATCTGCCCGTTGCAAGTTTCATTTGAAGCAGAATGTAGTCATTCATGACTAGTTCGATCTTTCATTTAATGCATTAGATCTTGCATTAAATGTTGCTTCCTGTTTATAGACATTGCGTGAAGTGTTCTACATTTTGTTAGCTACAATGTCTGACTTTAACTGTGACCTAGGAATTTCTTGTCCTTTTCCGGTCATCGTAGCTGCAGAAGCATTGTCTTTATCTAAAAAAGTGTTGTACTTTTTCTAACACATGCATGCTTTTACTTTTGGGCATGCTTTTCTTCTTCCTCTTCTTTTTCTTTCATCACCCGATCATATTGAGAGCTCTTATATGATTGTAGACGATATTTGAATTGTCTCTTGAGACTTTATTCTTTAAATGCTTGCATGGCAGTCTTCGTCTACATTTGGTAGTCCATGTGCATCTCAAGACTTGATCTTCGTTTGAGCATTTGTCATCAATTCTTTGACTTCCTTTAGTCTGGCCAACATTGTAGACGAACAGACTTCATTTTCGTCTGGAATACTTTTCAGTCTGTGTAGTCCTTCGTCTGATATGTAGTTGACTTTTGTCTGATTCTTGACCAACCTTCGTCAGAATCCTTATGTTGCGCTTTAGGTTGTGCTTGATACACCTATGTTTGGTATTTGATTCATCATCGTCTGACGCTCATGTCATATTTCATCTATCATTTGACTTTGCTTCGTTTGATCCTTGTGATATGCTTTGCCTTGACTCATCTTTGTTTGGTTTTTAAAGAAGTTTCATCTATGGTCTGTATCGTCTAAAGCTTGATCATTTTCCTTCTTGTTCTAGACTTGGCTTTGTTTGACTTTTCCGTCTGATGTTTGAAGCTTTCCTTCCTTTATCTTGGCTCTAGTATAACTTGCCTGTACTTATGTTTTTCTAAAACACTAACACACTTGTTAGAAATAACAATATGTATTATATTTGTCTCAATCAAAACTTTGCTGGGAATTGCTTTGTCTGACTTAACACCATCTTGTCCTTCTAATATGGATAGTCTTCTCCATTGATGACTGGAGGCCTCGTGAGAAAAACTCCTTCTAGTAGATATTGTTCTTCATTGCTTCCTATTCTAGATCTTTTCCTTTGGCACTATTAGATGCTTAACTCAGTCAAAGGCTAAGCTTTGATACTAATTGTTGGAGAAAAAGATACACACTAGAAGGGGGGGTTGAATAATGTATATAACAAACTCATGCTTTTTGCAGTGAGATAGTGAAGAGTACAAACAAACAAAGTACTGGAGAGTAATCAGATAAAGTAATGAAGCAGACAAAATGACACAAGTATTTTTATCCTGATTCGTCTCCAACCTAGAGATTACGTTCAGTTCTCAATCCAACCAGATTGAGTTCCACTATCTTATCCAAGATACAAGTATTCTTTACAAGCCACTTTTGGCTAAATAACAAATATTCTTTCAATAAGCCTCTCTAGGCTTAAACCAAAGTATTTTTTAGCACAAGTTTCTTTAGGCTCAACCACTAAGTATTCTTTTGCCCAAGCCCCTCCAGGCTCAACCCTTACAAATAAGTTTGATAAGAGGTACAAGTGTAGCTTCGTCTCTTTTAGACGTGATGCTATCAAAATACAACACTAAAAGAACTACAAAGATCTAGATTCAAAATTTACAAATGTGATATTCTTTGCAGTACTTCAGCTTGATATTTCAATGAATTTTTCAGGATGAACTGCTCAAGAAATGTTGATTTATTATTGAATAGCATTTTTTTTGTGTATGTATATACAATATATGTTCTAGATACAAAATTTACAAAGATTTAGATACAAAATTTACAAATGTGATATTCTTTGCAGTACATCAGCTTGATATTTCAATGAATTTTTCAGGATGAACTGCTCAAGAAATGTTGATTTATTATTCAATAGCATTTTTTTTTCGTGTATGTATATACAATATATGTTTTTTACTTCTTGTTGTTTGAAGGCTTGATCTTTATATAACAACTTCTAGGAAGATGATTGTTGTAGCAACATTCAAATTTAAACGTTCAAATTTCTTTATTAGTTGCTTCGTTTGTCTTCCTAGCTGATCATAGAGAGTATTGTTGATTATTCTGGTAGCTACTTATCATCATTTCATTATACTTTTGAGTGCAACAGAGAGTGTTAGCATAGAGTAGTTGGGGCTGATGTAGAGTAGTCTTTTTCAGTCTCTTTTGCATGATATCCGGGATTGTGTTTTTGACTTCTCATGGAAATTTTGTCTTTTTCCTCACTAATGCTCTTCGAGACTTTCAAAGTTCCTTTTTGTTTGATTTGTTGAGGGATAACACATTAAAGCAAATGCAATGTCAGTCTTATTCATTTAATGTAAGTCAGATGGACTGTATGCTTCATCTGATTTCTTTCATCTTATAGATGATATGTATTATTTTCACATTTCGTTTGATTTGTTATATTTTCTAGGACTGCTGACTTTTGCTTAGAGAAAATCATTTTGTTTATTAACATTAAAACTTGAAGGATTGTCTGTTATCTTAAAGGTAAGATTTTTTATTTAACAGTTTGAATGGATGAAGATGAAAGAAGTTATAATAACAAAATATTATAGTTTTACCCTTATATACTACAATCCAAAATTTGATTTTTTTTAATTTCTATTCATTATTCATTCAAATAAAAATACACCGTATTTGAATAAAACAAATTAGCATTTACAATATATTCAAATAAAAAATCAAATAGTAGATATTCGAATAAGTTTGGCTCCAACTACAATTTTTTTAGAGTGAATGTGATGACATATTGCCTTTTAATGGTCTTATTACAAGGACAATGTCAATAATGATGCAAGAGAGATGGACTTGTGATGTATATAGAAAGTTTAAGCTTCTTTCAAGATATAAGTTAATTATTTATTTCACTTTTTTTTGTGTATATTTTTCTAGTAAATATTTTCTTAATGTTGACCTTGTATTTTTGAGTCAAATAATGTAGGAATTTTATTTCCTTGTAAATTTTGTTTTAGGAGTGTTATTAGTATTTTAGGGGGTGTAACTAGTAAATTAGGTATGAACCTATTAGACTTGATTTGAGAGCACATTTTGGTGCATGGCCCTTCAAAGTAGGATGTCTACTTTGAGGAGGAGATAAAGGTGTCTCATGGTTGTTCAAACGTCAATAAAGTCACGTGATCTTATCTAGCCACACCTTTGGTATCTTACCATGGGACAAACCCTTTATTAACTTTTCTAGATTTAGGATGTTGACATGAGTCACATTTATTGTGTTTAGTCATGTGACAAACTTCTATTGGTTCTTGTAAATCTGGAATAATGACATTTTTAGGGAGAAAATTCAAAATTCAAATTATATTCAAATGAAGTATCACTTATTCTAATAAAACATTCAAATGTATTCCAATAAACACCCGTAGTATGCAAACAAATCATGTAATTATTTCAAGAAGCTTTCCTAATACTCGAATACACAAATATTTCCTTTTAAAGCACCCCTATTCAAATAAACTGATAACTATGTCTTGAACTAAAAAGTGTATTTTCTTTTAAAGTTTTTGTACCGGAAGGATCCTATCGGCCACGTGGACCGGCATGTCATGTACTATCAGATGATACTGCTCGAATACCACTTCGGTCCGATAGGAGACTAAGAACTATGCTCTTCCCCTATCGGCTTGGCCAGAAGCCGAGAGAGGATGTTTCGGTCGTGTTGTCTTGGCTCGGCCAAAGGTCAGCATCGAATAATTGAACGACGATTATGATTAGCAAGGATAAAGTACATGATTAAGACATAATCAGCCGATTAACATCGTATTACCTAATTTGGTAAATGTCAGAGAAGGTCCACCATGCTCAGGCCCATGTCAGGTATTATAAATAGGTCACACGTAACGAGGTATGTCACTGTTCATTTTTACCCTAGAAAATCATGCTTGTCCTGACTTGAGCGTCGGAGTGCCTTTTGCAGGTACCTTCCCCCTCTGAAGAATCCACCTGAAGCTCTCGTTCGACCCTCCTGCACCCCAGAAGACTACGAGTGTACCCTCAGACAGGTACATTTTGGCGCCCACAGTGGGGCCGAACCGAAAGCTTTGCAGAAACAAATCGAACGTAACGTGGAAAAGAATCATGGTAAAGACAAGGAATACTAATTTCGAAGGGCACCAGTCCGAAGAGGAGCAGCAGTCCGGGGCCGAGACGGTTGAGGAGACAAACTTGACCGATATGGTACGCCAGATGAAGGAAGAAATGATCGCCATGAAACAGCAGCGAGAGAGAGATGCCGCTGAGATGGCCGCATTGAGAGAAGAGAATGCTGCTCTGAAAAACCAGTACCGAGATCCCACACGGAAACCATCTGAGACGACCCACACTCAGGGGTCGTTCCACTCGCTCGGCCATCACACCTCTATCCCCCACACCTCTGTTGCTGCCCCAGCGGCCCATGCTTCGGGCAGCCGACCGACACAACCATTGCCAGCCGGAGCACATCGGCATCCCTTTACCTCAAGTGTTATGCATACGACACTCCTTGACCATTGGAAGTCATTACCACTCGATAAGTATGATGGTTCAACCGACCCTGGCGAGCATGTCGACATCTTCTTGACTCAGGTCACTCTCAGCACTACTGATGATGCTGCATTATGCCGAATCTTCCCAACTTCGTTGAAGGGTCGGGCATTGAGCTGGTTCACACGACTTCCGGCCAACTCAGTCGACTCCTTCAATACATTGGCATCTCAATTCACCATTCAGTTCGCCACCAGCAGACCTCATCAGCTGACCTCGCTCTCGTTGGTAAGCATAAGACAAGAAAAGAAGGAATCCCTTCGGACCTTCATGAGCCGATTCAATAAAGCGGCTTTGGAGATTCGAGACCTCAACCCTGCTGTAGCTCTGCACCACCTTACCACCGCCTTGAAACCGGGACCTTTCGCCAACAACATCTGTAAGAAACCCCCAACTGATATGGATGATTTGCGTCGGCGCGCCGACAAATACATGCAAATGGAGGAATTAGCTGAGTTCCGTAATCAAGCAAGGGCAGAGATAGCCTCCAAAGCCGACAAACCAGCCGAGAACAACTATCGGAGCCGTCCCAAAGAAACCGCTTCCCGCAAAAAACCCACACGAGGACCGAGGTATTCTCATTACACCCCATTGAACGACAGACGATCTGCTGTCTTAGATCAGGCACTCGCTTCAGAGGTCTTGGCGGTGCCAAAACGAGCATCAACCCCTCCACGCGCCGACACAACCAAGTCCTGCAAATATCACCGAAACCGAGGTCACTCAACTGAGGGGTGTGCGGCTCTTAAAGATAAAATCGAGGAGTTAATCGAGCAAGGGCAGCTTCAACGTTTGGTCGATCGGCCCCGCTCTCCCAGACGCGATGATCACCAGCATCGTGGGGAACAACATGGCCGAGAGAGATCTGTTAGGCATCCTCACAGGGAACGAAGCCGGTCGAGAGACCGAAGAGAAGTCGAGCCCACAACTCAACCCCGAAGGGCCATCAATACTATTGCCGGTGGATTCGCGGGCGGAGGATCCACCTCCTCAGCATAGAAGAGACATCTACGAGCAGTCCGAACTGTCCACGCGGTTGAGCGCACCCGGCAGAGGCTGCCAGCCATCACATTCACTGAGGCTGATTTCAAGGGCATCGATCCTGATCAGGACGATCCCATGGTCATCAGCATGGAGATCCAACTCTGCATCGTTCGGAAGACATTGGTCAATCAAGGAAGTTCGGCCGATATTCTCTACTGGAACACCTTCAAGCAACTCGGTATCCCGGAAGCCGAATTGATCCCATACAATGAGCCGCTGGTTGGATTTTCTGGTGAGCGGGTACAAACGAAAGGATACATCAAGTTATCCACACGTTTTTGTTCCGATGAAGCCGAAGTCCGAGACATCCCGATCAAGTACGTGGTTGTGCATGCTAACACGTCATATAACATTCTTCTTGGAAGACCGTCCCTCAACAGGTTAGGTGCGATTGTGACCCCGCACTTAGCCATGAAATTTCCTTCTGAGTCAGGCCGAATCATCACAGTACATGCAGATCAGAAAGTGGCCAGGGAGTGTTATTTCGCTAGTCTCCGGTTGCCCCGCCTCGGAGCAGCCGAGCCGCGTTGAGAGAAACGTGTGCACTCGGTAGCCCAAGACCTCGAAACGGTTGTAGACTTCGACCCTCGAATGGAGCAAGACGAGAGGGTCGAGCCGATTGAAGATCGGTACCCAATGGTTATCGGGCCGACCAACCAGCATGTCACCTACCTCGGGTCTAACCTGTCCAAGACCGAAAAGCGTGAAATCGAAAATGTAGTAAAGAAAACCAAAGACCTCTTTGCATGGAAGCCGGCCGACATGCCCGGGATTGACCCTAACTTCTTCTGCCATCGGCTCTCAGTGTGCCGGGAGGCAAAACCGGTCGCCCAACGTAAGAGAAAAATAGGGGAAGAGAGGAAAAAGGCAGTTGAAGCCGAAACGTCCAAGCTCCTTGAAGCAGGTTTTGTTCGAGAAATCCAATACATAACATGGCTGGCCAACGTTGTCATGGTCAAGAAGTCGAATGGCAAATGGCGAATGTGTACTGATTACACGGATTTAAACAAGGCCTGCCCCAAGGATGCTTACCCATTGCCAAACATAGACCGATTGGTGGATGGTGCGGCTGGTCATAAGTTCCTGACACTCCTCGATGCATACTCGGGAAACAATCAAATTTGAATGTGCCCCCGAGACGAAGACAAAATGGCATTTGTTACAGAATCTGCCAATTACTGCTACCAAGTAATGCCATTCGGCCTGAAGAATGCTGGAGCCACATATCAAAGGCTCTTGGATAGGATCTTCGGCGATCAAATCGGGAGAAATATGGAAGTTTATGTGGATGATATGGTTGTCAAATCGGCCGACACACCTACCCATGTAACCGATCTCGTCGAAGTCTTCCGAGCCCTCAGGAAACATCAGATGAGACTTAATCCCGATAAGTGTGTATTCGGCGTCTCAGGTGGCAAGTTTTTAGGTTTCATGCTGTCAAGTCGGGGCATCGAGGCTAACCCGAACAAATGCCAAGCTATCATCGACATGAGGAGTCCATCAAAATTGAAAGAGGTCCAAAAGTTAGCTGGTCGACTAACAGGTTTGTCTCGTTTCCTACCATGTATGGCCGAGACTTCCAAGCCGATCCTTGGCCTTTTGAAAAAGGCAAACAGGTTTCAATGGACGGAAGAATGCGAAATATCTTTTCAAATTTTTAAGAAATGCCTCGGCACTCCCCCGGTATTGACTAAGCCAACATCCGGCCAAGAACTAATGTTGTACTTGGCAGTTTCGGGCAAAGCCATAAGCGCCGCTTTGATACGGGAACATGACGGCCAACAGCAACCGATATATTTCATTAGCCGAGTGTTGCAAGATGCCGAACGGCGATACCAACTGCTAGAGAAGGTAGCGTTGGCACTCATGTATGCGGCTAGGCGTCTCTGTCAGTACTTTCAGAGTCACACCGTCGTGGTCCGAACAAATTGTCCGATTGCCAAAGTACTGCGAAAACCGGAATTAGCCGGCCGAATGATGGCATGGTCAGTTGAGCTCTCTGAGTTTGATATTCGTTTCGAGCCTCGAGGGGCCATCAAAGCACAAAGCTTAGCCGAGTTCATTAATGAATTATCCCCACTCGGCCAGTTCGAAGATACCGCTTGGACTATGCATGTGGATGGGTCGTCCAATCAACAAGGAAGTGGTGCCGGCATAATCTTGGAAAGCCCATCTGGAATTACCCTCGAACAATCGTTGCGATTCGGCTTCAAGACCTCTAATAACCAAGCAGAATATGAAGCTTTACTTGTCGGCATGAGGTTGGCTGCCGAGATGGGTGCTACAAAAGTAGTGTGTTGGACTGACTCGAAGGTGGTGGCCGAAAAGGTCAATGACAACTTTCAAGTCAAAGACGCACACTTGTTGAAGTATTACCACATGTTCAAGGCAATGAAAGGTTTGTTTCACGAAGTACAAGTCCGACACACACCACGGTGTAACAATGAGAGAGCTGACCAACTAGCTCGATTAGCTAGTAGCCGAAAACCCGGACAACTTCGGTCAACCATTCACTTGGAACTACCCACATCAAGTATTCCACAAGAGTGCATTCCAATTGAAAGACCGACAAGTTCATGGATGACCAACATCATAAATTACATCATCAGCAGTTCTGAGCCATCTGATCCGTTGGAAGCCAAGAAAGTCCGAACTCAAGCAGCACGTTACTCTTTAATTGCCGGTGAACTATACCGACGAGGGTTCTCTACACCCTTATTAAAATGCCTTGACCAGCCACAAGCCGACTATGTTCTACGAGAAATTCATGAAGGAATTTGTGGATCACACTCAGGTGCAAGAACCTTAGCTGCTAAAGTGCTGAGAGCCGGCTACTACTGGCCGACCTTGAAAACCGACTGCGCCGAATATGTGAAGAAGTGTAAGCAATGCCAACAACATGGCAACCTAATACATGCCTCGGCCGAGCAGCTCCACTCGGTCAGTGCCCCTTGGCTGTTTGCCTTATGGGGCATTGATATTCTCGGCCCGTTTCCACTCGCTAAAGGTCAATGCAAGTTTTTGGTAGTGGCCGTTGATTATTTTACTAAGTGGATTGAAGTCGAGCCGCTAGCTACTATTACAGCAGCTAATGTTCAAAAATTCGTATGGAAAAACATCATCACCTGGTTCGGCATCCCATACGCAATCATCTCCGATAATGGACTGCAATTCATGGATAAGAAATTCAACAACTTTCTTGAAAACCTTGGCATCCGACACCGGTTCACTTCTGTCGAACACCCACAGTCCAACGGTCAAGCCGAGGCTGCTAACAAGGTTCTCCTCACCAAGTTGAAGAAACGGCTTGGCACGGCAAAGGGAGCATGGGCCGAAGAGCTTCCTAAAGTTCTTTGGGCATACAGATGCACACCTCAATCAAGCACAAAGTAAACTCTGTTCCGGCTAGCATTTGGCATGGATGCTATGATTCCAGTCGAGGTTGGCGAACCCTCATTCCGACGAACACACTTTCATGAGGAGTCTAGCGACGGCGCAATCCGAGCTGAACTAGACATCGTGGATGAGGTCCGAGAGAAATCCCAAGTCATCGCTGAAGCATGTAAACAACGAATGACCCGGCGATTTAACTCCAAGTTAAGACCAAGGAGTTTCCAAGAAGGTGATCTGGTTTGGCGATCAACCGGCTCGGCACGACAAAGCTCGACCGAAGGGAAACTAGCGGCAAATTGGGACGGCCCATTCAGATTCAAGCACACCCTTAATAATGGTTCCTACAAGTTAGAAGAATTATCCGGCAAGATCATTCCCCGGACGTGGAATTCTACCCATTTGAAGACCTATTACAGTTAGGATTCCACTTCATGTACATGTGTAAATGTCTTACGGTGCACTCTTTTCCTTGAACCGGTCTTTTTTCCTCTTAAAAGATTGTGAAATGAGGTTTTTAGCCGGCAAGGTTTTTAACAAGACATCCAATCATCAATAACAATACAATTTAGCTATTTATGTCTTGCCTCATATTTACGCAAAATTTATAAGTCTTCCCTCCCGAGATGTCTCTCGGCCAAGGATGTGACTTTCGTTTCAATTTACAAGTCTTCCCTCCCGAGATGTCTCTCGGCCAAGGATGTGACTTCAAATTACGTATTACCCTTCCGAGGCGACTCTCGGCTAAGGATGTGACTTACAATTATCCCCCCCGAGAAGTCCTATCGGTTAAGGGTATGACTATTTTAAGTCTTCCACACGTTAAATATAAACTACACCACGTTCAGCAAAAGATTAAACCCGGAGTTACAAAAGATTAAACGGGGCACTATCGGCCCCAACATATAAAATCAAAAGAAAATCACCCTAAGCCTGTGCTTCGGGCTCCCCTTGGATTGAAGGCTCCTGCTCGGCCACTTCCTCCTGCACATGGCCGCCTCCACCCGGTGCGGCTTCATGACGAACAGGGACCTCAGTGTCTGGTTGCTCATTCGGCGGGATTTGGGTCAAATTGACATATTTCCCCCGATAGAAGTCCATGGTCATATCAAATTGAAAGTCCTGAGGCAAACTCCCAAAATGCCGAGCTTGCCGAGCCGCTTGGGCGAAGTCGGCTTCATGCTGAGAAAGAACCTTGCTCCTAGCTCTCTCCCGGTATGCACCGAAATCCTTCTTCTCGGCTTCTAGCGCCTTCAGCAGCGTAGCGGACTTCTCAGCCTCGGCCTTCAGAAGATTCTCCAATCGTTGAACCTTCAAGGTCACGTCATCATTTTGACGACTCCGACGATCCAGCTCCGCTTCACATTTCTTACCATGTCCTTGTGCCTCAGATAAAGCCGCCAAGGTTTCCTGCACGGACTTTTCTGACTCAGCCAGCTGTCGGCGCAGCCCGTCGGCCTCGGTGTTCGGTTGCATCATAATACTTTGAGCCAAAGCTAGGGCTCGAGCTTGCAACTTGCAGAAAAAAGTCCATTTATGGGACGAAGTCATTTGCCCCAGTATGGATTGCCCCATTTCTGAAGTCAAGTCCTAACTCAAGTAATCTTGGGCACTGACATTCGAGGCCAAGAAGCTGGGACTCACAAGTCCCTGAGGAGCCACAAGAGCGGCCAGCCTTTGTTGTTTTTGCCGACGCGCCTCGGCCTCGGCCTCAGCCCTTCTTTTACTCTTCGCCCTTTGGGCATCCTGGTTGCTCTTCTCCCTCGCCTGCGGTTGAGGCCGAGCTGTCTCACGGGCCGAAGCCCGGTCCTCCCCATGTGGAGCCGATTGCTGTACAACTTGGCTCTGGATCAGGGCACGAATATCCAACTCGTCGTCGTAGTTTGCCATGATACCTGCGCAAACACTAGTCAAAATCAATGGCAACGCAGGAATTTAAATAAAGGACAAACACTATACCAATTAAATCATCAACAGGCTGGGCTGATTTCACGAGACGAACAAGATCTCGGCACGGCAATGACCGCGGCAGCTTCTTCAACACTTCCAAGTCGGCTTTCTCCTCAGTAGACATCTTGGACTTCGACACCACGTCATATTTTCTCGGCGACCGAGTCCAATACAAAGGAAACAAGGCATTCCCTGCACCATCAAAAAAATACTTGTTGCCGTTTTCTGGCCGAATCATCACCTTAAAGAATCCCACTTTGAATCCTTTATAGGAGGTCGTAAACGGCTGAAGTAAACAATGCTCCGCCCGAACCAGCGACAGCCATTTCGCTTTCTTCGTAGGTCGACACGAGTAAAAATACAAGAACAAATGGGGAGTCGGCTCGATACCAAGTGTCAGACACAACTGCCGAAACCCTTGCATCGCGGCCCAGCTGTTTGGATGTAACTGGGTCGGTGCAACGTTGAGCAAACGGAGCACACCCATAAAAAACTTGTCAAAAGGAAGAGTCACCCCCAAATCACGAAACAAGTAGTCGTACACAAAAAAGAAATGGTATTTACACTTCCCTCGGCCAAGAAAAACAAAATCCGATTCCCATGACCCATCGTTCCGGCACGAGTCAAAAAAGAAACCAGATGGTACCTCACGCTCTGGAAGCGTAACAAAATTTTCCGTGTCGAACAGCACAGCGATTGAGCTCTTGTCAGTATACCGAGAAAATACACTCCCCACCTCCCCATGAACCCACTATAGGGCCGAATCGACGCGAAGTCGAACCGACTCGGCGAGTACTCGGTCGGCCCTCGGTCACCTCGAGAGAAGAAGCCTCCTCCATACTTCGGGACTGCTCGAACCCCTCAACAATTTCTACGCTAACCGACCTCTGCGTTGCCGAGTCTGAGACCCTTGGGTGAGAAGACCCATGCGAACCCGCATCAGCAGAGGTATCCCTACTATTCCCAGCCGAGCCAACTTCTGAAACCCTATCTTCTACATCTATACTTAACTCAGCCATTAAAACGTACCTTAATTGGAAGTCGGCCTTGGTCGGAAACTTGCACTCAAGGTTGATCCCTACGTTGGCTCGGAGCAATCGCACGCTACAGTTAAGTGAACACACAAGGATTTGGTCCCCACCACCTCTATTTATAGTGTTTTCGAAATACGAATGACAACTGATATTCCTCCAGGGACCGTCAGATCAATATGATCCAACGATCCACGGGAATCCAACTTTTCAATTCCCTCTCATCATTACTTTACCATTACCAAACCAACGGTTATAACCCCTCACCTTCCCACGACAACGTCCCACGATTAATGTTTAATGGTTATAACCCCCACTTTCCTACATTCATATCCCACGATTAATGCTTGACGGTTACAATACTCCACTCCACCTCAACCGTCATGAAATGTAAAGTCACTTTTACCCTTTGCGTCCTTACACTCCTCAAGGCTGGGGGGCTTGTGTACCGGAAGGATCCTATCGGCCACGTGGACTGGCACGTCATGTCCTATTAGATATTGACGCAGCTCAGGTAACATTTCGGCTCGGCCACGTGGATCGGCCACGTGGACCGGCATGTCATGTACTATCAGATGATACTGCTCGAATACCACTTCGGTCCGATAGGAGACTAAGAACTGTGCTCTTCCCCTATCGGCTCGGCCAGAAGCCGAGAGGATGTTTCGGCCGTGTTGTCTCGGCTCGGCCAAAGGTCAGCATCGAATAATTAGAACGACGATTATGATTAGCAAGGATAAAGTACATGATTAAGACATAATTAGCCGATTAACATCGTATTACCTAATTTGGTAAATGTCAGAGAAGGCCCACCATGCTCAGGCCCATGTCAGGTATTATAAATAGGTCACACGTAACGAGGTATGTCACTGTTCATTTTTACCCTAGAAAATCGTGTTTGTCCTGACTTGAGCGTCGGAGTGCCTTTTGCAGGTACCTTCCCCCTCTGAAGAATCCACTTGAAGCTCTCGTTCGGCCCTCCTACACCTCAGAAGACTACGAGTGTACCATCAGACAGGTTCAGTTTTCTATCATGTTCAATCATGTTTGAAGTGTAAAAAAGGATTGAATAGATTTTTATAAAAGAAGCTTTGACCTTAGATTACAAGAGAAAGAAATGTGTTTTTCATTTTTCAATTCTATTCAAATAAAATTGTGTTTGATATTCGGATGAAAGAGTAAAACATATCCTTTTTTTTTTTTTGTTATTTCAATTCAAATTTATAGAGAAATTTACATACGTGTAAATCTTTTGTTAAACAAACTAACACAACTTATTCAAACGGTAGTATTTCTTATCTCTCTTAGTTATTTAGGGGGCATTTCATGCCAAACAAACATAACGTTAATTCTTACCTATTGTATTATATAACATAAAATAATAGAATCTTCAAGAAAAAAATTGTACGTTTGTTAATTCAAAGCCAAACAGAGAGAGAAAGAGAAAAGCTAAGGTGTTGACAAGACTTAAGCTTTAGGGCATGCTAATTTATCCGAAACTTATAGGTTGTCTCCTTGCAATTTGCAAATGGTGGGGCTATAGAACGGGCCATGCACGAGAAGGCATATGCATGGAGTAGCAGCATTAGGCATAGTGAGCTACATTGTCTAGATCTACGTGCAGGGAACCCAATGGCAATGTTAAGAGGATATGGTCAATCTCTTGTTTCTAATCCTTTTGTAATCATGAGTACCCATGTTCCTGTCACCATGATCCAAGCCATAATTCCATACGCCAACTCTATTAAACTTGTGAGAAATTTGGATGCATATACCACAAAAGTAAAATACTTCCGATCCTCTTCTTTCTGGAAAACTCTAATTGAACTTACTTTTTATTATATAATAAAAGTAACACTTAAATAATATATTTGTAATTCAAATAAGATAAGCAAGTTTTAATTTTTTTATTTATAATTTTTTTTAAAAATTTGAAACTTTTTAGTCATTATTAGTTATTATTATGATTTATTTTAATTACTTATATATTTATTAGAAGGTTAAATGACTATCACAAGTAAC